CGACCCGGGAATGCGGGCGTCCAGGTCCTCGGACTTGCGGAAGTACGGCAGCACGTCCGCGTACGACCAGCCGCTGTTGCCCAGCCGCGCCCAGTGGTCGTAGTCGTCCGGCACGCCACGCGTGTACATCATGTAGTTGATGACGCTGGTGCCGCCCATTACCTTGCCGCGCGGCCACCGGCACCTACCGTCCACCATGGCGCCGCACGCGCCCGGCTGCCGCTCCGTCCGGTAGTCCCAGTCGAACCCGGTACCGATCAAGTAGCTGACCAGCAACGGCACGTCAGTCATCGCGTTCTCCTCGCCGCCCGCCTCCAGCAGCAGCACCGACCAGCCGGCCACCTCGGTCAGCCGGTTGGCCACTACGGAGCCGCTCGAGCCCGCACCCACCACCACGAAGTCGTACTGCTGTTTCACGTACGCCGCGTCCGGCACCGCGTCCACCGGCCCCGGCGCCAGCGTCCGGTAGTACTCGACCACCGCCTGGAACACGGTGTACGCCATACCGTGGCCGGGCGTGGCCAATGCGAGCGCGGCCACCGCGGTCCACAGCACCGTCACGCCGGTCGGTCCCATGATAGCGCGAGGATTACCCGTTTCGCCGTCGTCACTGCACAAGAATCCGTCGGGCGCCACCGCAAACGTTCGATTGCTACGTCGTTCTAGTGATCCGGCAGACGCACGCTTACCTCGGCCTCTGGTTTTCAAGGTTTCTTCTACTTCTTCCACTTCTGCACCGTTGCCGCCGCTGCCACCGCCGTTGTTCGGTACACTTACACCGCTCGCGGTCGTTAATGCCATTCGGTTCACCCTCTCTCGTCTCGTGCTCGCTACTTTCGCCGACATATAGATCACACGTGAATCGATTATTACCGCCAAACGACGTCGCACTGCCAGTCAAGTTCATGCGTTGACGGTTATCTCTTTTGTAGATCGATTTATTAATCGTTTAGGCGATCGGACTGCGGAATGGATGACTTAACGAAACATCAGTAACGTCATTATAATTATACTGTTCCAATTGACCATATACATTTATTTACTCGTACAGACGCACACGCACACGTGCCTTGTGAAGGTCGAGCTGTTACACGCGCAGTTATGGTATTTTTCTTGCGGTTAAACGCGCGGTAGTATTATGACAGTATGCACTTGTATTACAATTGTTCATACAATTCTATTCACTCGAAGTGCTCTTGTATCGTATTGTAACTACGGTTGGGTTCGCGTACGACGTAATCGAATTTCCGTCGGTCTTGTATTGTATTTTTTTTTAACAGCGATAACCAATCGGTTTACAATTCTGAAAAATAATCGGCTCTTCCAAAGCTGTTTCATTTCAAACACATGTATCATCCGTACGCTACGTGAGAAACTTATGAATGGGTTCAAACGTTAAGCTAAACTACTAATACGAATTATAGAGAGCTTACGTCTCGCGCAGTTTATAATATTCACTTGTGCGTATATAATACATATTGTATTAACCGGAAACTTCTTTGGTATTTTGAAGATCTCAGTATGATAAAAAATTGTTGATCGATGTGACAAGATTCGTATTTATTTAGAGTTATTAAAACGTTTTCATTTTCACGTGCGTTCGGTTTCCGATGCGTTTCGATTTTAATACATTTGCTACATGTGAAAACACCTCAAACAATATCTACCAACCGAAACATCAAAATTGTTTACATTTACATGCGTGTTATGTTGTCAGAAATGTTTTTGAAATTTATAGTTATGATTTACGATTATGTAGGTCAATGTTATAATTTGAAAATTTTCGACTTCAAAATGCATTTTACATGGTTTGGTTAAAATACCGGCGCTATTTTTTTATGGGTAAGTGGCTTATATACTACAAAGATGAATAGAAAATAAAGAACCGTCGTACAACAGATATAAGGTCATACTTCATTAATACTAATTACTAATCATCATTCGACTAACGTAGATAATAATGTTTTTTATTCCAAAAAGTATATATTATGTACTTTTTATCTTTATACATTTATATGTATATTTATATATCTTCGAAAAAGATAAAATTAGAACGTAACTCGCCATAATAAAGTTTTAATAATTGTACTTATTTTACAGGTAATAAGTTATTTGTATTATCATATGTTATAAGTTATTGAAAATGAATTAACATATAAATATTGACTGTTACATTTTCCAGAATTTTAAGTAATACAATATTATTGAATTTAAATTTTGATTTATATTGTAGTGCAGTTAATACGATGTATTTTATCTAATTCCAATAATTTTATGAGTGTAAAAATAAGTGATATTATATAATTATCAAAAATGTATTCAATGCGAGTATATGCCAAGAGACAAGTTTTATTAATATTCGATAAGAATTTGAAAATTTTAATTCCAAAAATAATATTGTGTTTCAAATTCTTCAATATTTTTGTGGTAATGAGACTTTTTTTATTGCTGAATACTATTTTTTTATAATCATAATTGATAGTTAAAATAAAAAACAAATTTTATAATTAGGATTAATTGAACTGTATATTATACACAATTTTACTAGGTGTTAGTAGCAGTTATTGTTTGATTACAGTCCTTATTGTCTCATGAGAAGTTTGGTTATCTAAAAGTTTAATAATTAAATACATTTTAACCAATGCAGGTATTTCATGTATATATTTCATAAACTTTAATTAGTTATTAATACTGAAGTTAACTAATATCACTAGAAAATATATTAAAAAGTTACATTTTATTGCATATCGTACTATTATAGTTATAAAATATTTAACTATTTAAATGGGTTGATATATAAAACCTAACACAGTATTGTAATGTTTTAAATTATGATATTAAGTTTAAAAATCATAATTAAAGAGCATAAAATAATAACTATTGACAATATACTGTTTATAGACATAGCAAAATACAGTAAACACTGAAAATTTTCATAAAATAACGAAAACAGCTATAAGATATTCGATAGAAAAGCATTACAATAATTATTTTATAATTATTCTAAAATACACAAGTAAGATATAATACTGCAAATCAAATAAATTATAATAGTGATAATCATAACTAATTATCATAATAAATATAATACAGATTATATATTCACATATGCATATTCCCATGCAACGACAAATTTATAAATACTACATATATTGTGTAAACAAGGATCTAGCAGAGTTTGCGTTTCAGATCATCATCATGCTAACGATTCTGGAAAGGTAATTATAAAAAAAAAAAATTTAAATTAATTTCGAATAAGAAGATCAAATATTTTACGTAAACGTAAATCTGATTATTTACTTTCAAACGGCATTGAAACAACATTTTTAGGGTCAAAAATCTGTTGTAACTGTACATTGCAAGTTTTCAAGGTTTCAGATAGATATTATCGCATATTATGAACTCAAAGCTGGCCAAAGGTTACAGCGTTAAAGACATACTATTTGCTTTTTGAAATTCAAAATCATACTTTCATGAAATTTCACTTTTATAAAATTATAAAAAGGGTATTGGTCAAAAAAAATGTATTTAAATCGTTTTTCTTATTTCAAGTAAAACATTGTATTAGCCGTATTTGATTTATATTTTTAACAGAAAAATAAAGTAGTCTGGAAAACCAAATATAAAGTCATTGTTGGGCGTGAGGCATAAATCTATTGTTAAAATGAGAATGATCAATTGTGAATGTTCTGCGTTATCCGAATAGGATTAATTATCACGCGATTGTCTGCTTACCTCGTGTCGAAATTTCACTAGAAAAAAATCTCGTTACATAAAATAGTATATGACTATTGTATTATTCAAAACTTTCTTGTTAAGTGTTTAATTTTTATTTTTATTTAAACTAAATGTTAATTTTATTATTAGTTTCAATGTCAAGGCAGATAAGTTTCTGATACAGCAGTATAATTTGTAATATTTTGATCTAGATACTAAATTCGAATTGTACAGAGAAAAAACTTATTATTTATAAAATACTAATTGACAAATCAACCATAAACCAGATTTGAAAAAACACTTTTAAACAGTTACATTTTTCCCCAGGTTTAATTCGGTATAAAAAGTTTTCGATGTCAATTAACATATTATTGCAGTAATAATCTATTAAAATTGATCAATAATGATTCAAACGAATTTAGTGGAATAATATAACAAACCGACTGTTTATGTTCATTATTGCACTCGCGCATTGGTTGTCGGCCACGGTCAACTACTAGAAGAAATTAATTTAAATTTAAATACATACGTTTTACTAACTATATGATTGCTTCGACGCTGTAGGTATGACATTGTATTGTACATTGACCGGGCACGATTCTCACAATGACCGATTTCCACTAATATACTGGTCTACACTTAGAGCATTACACTTCATGTATCCATGATTATCGCGTCAGCTAGAGGTGGTTCAGGATTTGAAATACCTTGAAGGTGTCTCTGACTTTAGAACGATTATAATAATAATAATAAAAGTCTATTGAAACAATAGAAACTTTTCAACATTTTATAAATATTTTAATTTAAATACTGTAGCACCCCCCTCCCTTCCCATAAGCCATATGCTTGAACTGCGAGCACGGTTCTTATCAGTTAAGTAAATTTACAATATATACGAATATTAAATAACCATTATTATTTAATTAACAAAATAAAATAGACAAATTAATTGATACGTAGTGTTGCAGTGACGAGAATAAGTGTGCATAAGCAATACGAAATAATTAATGAAAACAATCGACTAAAAACTATTAAGTACAAAAAGTGGTTAAGGCTAGGTTCACATGGATACGTGTAAACGCACATTAGACAACTGTGCGTGTTTAAATGTACGGGTTTCTTATACATCGTTTAAATGGCGCGTGTGATAACTCGAAATTAAATATTGTTATCGGACCGTTAGTTGACATGCATGCCTACAATGAATTATTTATAATAACACTCGCTCCATGTTATCTTTAATATTATTAGGTATATTGTTAAATATTTGTGTACCAAAGAAATGGAAATTTAAACTGATTTACTTATTAATGAAATAGAAAAAAAAAGCCGACTATATGGGATATAAAATCAAGCGAATATTGGAACTGAATCCTTAAAAGGAAAGCTTGTGAAGATTTGGTTCACGTGTTTAGTAATATTGAAAATACAGAATATAAAAAAAGAAATTAGATGAACAAAAATTTATTTTTAAATATATTAATGATTTTATTTTTTTACAAATTTATAAATTAAAAAATTGTTTAAATATGTTATCTTGCCACTCTATTTTCCTTCATTTATAAAGTAAGTGGTGAATTATTTTTTTCAAATTTAATTTGCATCTCTTACAGTCCACCCGGTGTATAATAGATTTAAGTTTATCAATGATGCTGTAAAAAGTTTATCTTGGTAATTAAAATTGTATCTTATCTTGACATAATTATACAATCTACATATGGCTTTAACAATGTCTTCCGCAAAATAAATGTTTACATCTAGTAGTTGTGGTAGAATTTGTCACTTAATGCACATAATTCCAAAAGTGTATTTAACGATTTACCAAAGTTAAACGATAATTGAATTTCTTTTTTTTATAAGATAATGTTTTAGGACCCACGTGGGTGCCCACTGACGCCTGTGCAGGAACGCCGGTGGTCTTGGGATCACCATTCGACCTCACTGACCTCCCTTGCTGGGTCAGTAGAGTAGCCTCCTGGGGGAAATCCGAACCCCCTGGAGAAGTACCGTTGTCGTCGTATTTGGAACTCATCATCAAGCTTCAATGGTGGGTTGGCCTCCACCGACAACACCAGCCTCGTGCCGTCTGCCTTGTTTTCCGTTGTTGCCCTGATCTTGATGGACACCAGGAGTCGATCATGCCCCCGGTGGTGAGCTTGTCCGCGACCGCTTATTCGTCCAATCCCGGAGGGTATGGCTTATTTCGCGGCTGCCCTGCATATCTGCAGGACGTTCCCCTATCCGCAACCGGGGGACGCGCCCGATGGCATGCTCATGCCCTCCCGAAGGACGGGTACTACTTACTACTTACTACTACTACTACTACTACTACTTTTTTTTTTTTTTTTTTTTTTATCTTGGTATCGTCGAACCGGGGGAGTACTGCCTCTGCTCTGCATTCCCGCCGGTCCGCCATCGTTTATTTAAATGAATACAACTACTACTAATACTACTACTACTACTACTACTACTACTTCTACTACTACTACTACAACTACTACTATGTATATTATATACTATAATAATAATACTACTACTACTTCTACTACTTACTACTTACTACTACTAATTACTACAACTACAACTACAATATATATATATATATATATATATACTAAATAAATAATAATAATAATAATAATAATAATTGTAATAATAATAATTATAATTATAATAATACTACCTACTAATACTACTACAATATATATATTTAATAATATAACTATAAAATATTATATATATTATATACTATATTAATAATAATAATAATAATAATATTACTACTACTACTATTACTACAATATATATATATATATATATATAGATAAAATAACTATAATATAAATTATATATATTATATACTATATTAATAATAATAATAATAATAATAGTTATAATAATAATATTACTACCTACTACTATTACTACTACTACTTACTACTACACCATACATATATAATAATATAACTATAATATATAATATATATTATATACTATATTAATTATAACAATAATAATAATACTACTCTACTACTACTACAATATATATATATAATATAACTATAATATAAATTATATATATTATATACTATATTAATTATAATAATAATAATAATAATAATAATAATAATAATACTACCTACTACTACTACTAATACTTACTACTTACTACTACACTATATATATATAATATATATTAT